AAATTACATGCAAATTAAAGAAAAATTCAGCACTTTTGAGTAGTGAGGCGTGTCTGTGTTAAGCTGTAAGGAGGATTTTGGCACCATGGTTTGGGTCCATGTGTCCACTTACAGGGAAGGATCATCAATACTTATTAATGTCAAGTTACACTGTCTGCATTTTGCATGCACTAGATTCCAAAATTTGCCTTCCAGTGAGTAATAAATGCAGATGAGCTGCTTGTTGTCTTTCAGTTCAGCGCTTCCTCTGCAAATTCATGTGCAGCCAGGCTGTGGCAGTTTGTTTACATTCTCACTTCAGGTTAAGTAACTGCTCTCGCTGTTAAAATGAAACTTTCAGTACAACTGACTTAAGTTCAGTAGACCTACTCTACGTCCAAACTATTTAAATGAAGCAGTCACATGTCAGATGTTTTCTTTAGCTTCAAACAAAAAAATTGATAAACAACAAAACCTGCAGTTCTGCTAATGTCCACTAGAGGCTGCCTCCAGCCTTTAGCTGTTGTACATGAAATATAGCAGAACACTGCAGGGTACGATTAGTTGATGATTTATTATGTGGATAACGGCTCAACGAGATCTCCTTAAAAAAAAAGATTTTTAAGATAAAAATGGGACAAAATACTTTGACAGCTCAACAGACCGCTAAAAAAAATTTTCTTTTCATTGCAGTCAGTAAAAAAAAAAATACAGACATGGAGAAAGTGAAACTAATTGATTTTTTTTTTAAAGTTCTTCATCACCACCAAAAGCTAATCACTTGTTCCTTGGCTGATAGCCCAGCTTCCCACTAAACTGACATCTGGTGAGTTACTAACAAGCAGCAGCTGAACTAAAAACAGAACTTGGAAGAGCTGAAGTGGAAAGAAACTCCATCTAATAGCATCTATGGTGGTGTCGACAGATGTGACATTTAAAACTGATCTAACCTGCTGTGTTCTTTGGACCAAAGTACAGCTGCGGCTGGTGAGACCCTTTATTAGTTTTTGAGGTGATTTAGTCTGAATACAGTCCGCCCTCTGTGGAACGTAAATGTCTGAAACTTATGACAGTCCAGTGAAAAGCTGTTGATGTGTGTCACTCAAGAGCAAAAAGTGTCACACTCTAGAGAAGTGACAGACACATCGGCCAAGCTCCTTCTACTTTATCATCCTCGAAGGAACGGGCCGTTTCCTGTGTTTCTATTCTAGATTTCTATAAGAAAAAAGGTTTATTACTGTTTTCCATTGTGCCATTAAAGACAAAGACACCACTGAACCCATATTTTCATTTTAAGCTTTCAGCAGTTAGAAGAATATCAAGTTTTTGTAAAAGATTGTTGTAGCTGCCAACATCTTTGGCGTATAAATTCTGAACATGGGTTCCTTTTTATTTTTTGGTAGGTTGGGTTTTGAAGATTTGATTCAATAATTTTTTGTGTAATTCTTTCAATTTCAATTTTATTTATACAACACCAAATCACAACAGCAGTCGATTCAAGGTGTTTTATATTGTAAGGTAAACCCTACAATAATACATATAAAGAAAAAGCCAACAATCACATGACCCCCTATGAACAAGTACTTTGGCAATAGTGGGAAGAAAAAAGTCCCTTTTAACGGGAAGAAACCTCCTGCAGAACCTCGGGGAGGGGCGGCCAGCTGCATATGGCCGCCCTTCCCCGAGGACTCTATGTGTTGTGAAAAGAAGTTGGATTGTTGAGAAGTCGATGGGAAGCTGGTTCATAATTCTCACTCAGTTCATGAGCTTAATAAACACGTTTGTGAATTTATGGTCTTAGATGTTGAGTTCAAGTCTTATTAAATTCAACATGATGCTCATTTGATAACTTTGTCCACACAGGTGAAAAAGAATGACAAAGCAGGTGATGGGTTAGGAAGGACATGTGCTGTATGCACAGCTTCAATGTTGACTTTTGGCACATACGCAGTTCAAACTCTGCACTTTCAGGTAAAGCTCCTCTGAGTAACCCGCTGCACCATCACATTTAACCTCCAGCTTGTTTTTGCTGTTTATGCTTCTGACGTGAGGTTCCTGCACAGCCTGTGACTGACCTCAGACACAGGTAGCAGCGAAGTGCAGGTTCGATTCCCTCTTAGTCTCTCCTGCCAGTAAAGTTCAGAAATGTTTGATACTTGAAACGCGCTGCCTTGGCCTGCTTTGACAAATACTGTAAACCTCAGCGATGACAAACAGCCTGAGCCCGGTGTCACAGCCGCCTGGTCCACTTTCTGCTGTGACAAAGTGATCCGGTTAGGCCCCGGCATCGCCCAGCGCAGGAAGCCCTTAACCACAGAAGAAGAGCAGAGTGGAGCTGAGAAAAAATGTGGTGTCAAGACATTAAACGGGGAGAGCGGAGCAATGGGGGGCTTTAAAGATGACGATTCTTTATCCCTAAATTGTTTTGAGAGCCTCGTGCCAGCTGGGTCATGAATCAGCCTGTCCGGCGGTCCTTCTGGCGTTCCTGGCGATGACTGCGGGGGCGGCAGGGGCCGTGACAGGTGAGCTGTCCCTGCTGCTTGAGCATCACCCCCTCTTCATCATTTTACATTTAATCGAAGCTGCCACCTGTCCTGACTCTCAGCACCGCTTCCTGCCTTCCCTTTCATCCGTCTCTCAGAGCTGGAGTAGTCGAGGAAGAGCAGAGGGGGAGGAGGAGGAGGGGGGCAGAAAAAACAGGAGCTTCATCCCCTGTGATGGTTTGTGGTGATCAGGTGTAGCAGCGCTGAGCAGGACTATCAGTCTACCTGCCAAAACACTACGCTGTGAGCCCCATCCATCAGGAGGAGATGATCGCGGTCCATCCACATCATCCTCCTCACTCCCACGTCTCAAGCAGTCACAGCTGGAAGTAAAATTTGAACACCTGATGATACGATGTCTCACTTTTCTCTCTGTTCAGGTGAAGCAGAGTTGAATCCAAAGATCTGATTTATTTACCGTCTAGTTAATAATTTATGAGTAAATATAATTTGTTTTATCAGTCCTAACATGGTTTTTATTTATATAATACATTTAAAAAATACAGCATTTGACAAAGAAGCGTCACACACCTGACATTCAGAGCTCCTGTTTAAGAGAGGCAGCCAATCAGGAGAAAACTTCTTTAAAGGGGGAGGAACTAAACACTTTACTTTAGTTAGTGGATCATCTGATTTTCTACACCAATATCAAGGATTGTTATAAGGTTTTTATCATGCAAAGCAACCTTAACAAAGTCCAAGAATAAAAATATGGAGCTGGAAACAAACAGAAAAGGTTCAGTTTAAATTATAATAAGTCAAACTTACAATTGAGGGAAACAATGCCACACGTGTGGGACGAGGGCAGTTTAATAGGTATTAAGGATAAAATGCATAGAAAATTGGTTAACATTAATGCAATTAACCCAGACCCCAGACGATTAATCTTGATGAACAATAACGTTTTTGTTGGCCCAGTTCTGCTAATTTGACAGAAATAGATGCAAGGAGCAAAAGTCACACAGCTACAGACACCAGGCGGCACGATAGCAGTAAGATTTGAGTCTCATAGATCCATCCATCCATCTCTCTCATCTGTTCATGCAGCTTCCCCAGCAATTCCACATTCTCACATCACACTACACCAATTAGCCTAACAAGCATGTCTTTTCTCTGATTCTTCTTTAATTTTTCACCATTCTGAGGCTCAATTGCACTCAGGCTTTCAAAAGCCAAATAGTAGAAGCTGGAAAATGTAGCCTGGTCTGATGACTGTTCTTTTTTTTTTTTTTTTTGCCTGTCCCATTTGGTTCTTTAGCCGTCAGAATTGTTGTCTGAAGAACAACAAGGATACCCAATGGATTTACTTTGCCAAATGGATGATCACGACCTTGCCGTATTGGTCCATTTGATCGACCTTTGTTGTTATTATTTATTTTATTTTATTTTCATTTGTTACAGATGGGACAGACATGACTGAGGGATAGGAAAGGGAGAAAGAAAGATGAAGGAAAAGAAAAACAGAAGGGAAGAGGGACAGTGAGAAAGGGCACTTAAAAAGAGAAAGAAGAAAAAAAAATCTCCTGGATCACCTATTGAGAGAAAAAGAAGAGAAAACAAGCAAAAAAACCCAGAGCAACATACTGAACACAACAGCATCGCATTAATCGAGTTAAGTATAAACAGCAGTGAATACGAAATATTGAATGTTGAATGTTGACCGACAGCACATAATGTGCTTGGAAATAGCAGCCAATAAAGGTGTAGTTTATGTCTATGAACAGTGAACACCCGTGTGCACACCTGTGTGGATCAGTGTGCTTGTATTCAAAAGGTTTCCCCATGTAACGGTCTGCTAGAGGATGTAGAGAGCTATAGCCCTGTCCCCCAGGGCATGAAGCAGGCATGGAGGAGATCCAGGCTCCCCTTTGCCCCGGAAGAGGCCTGACCAAGCAACAGGCACCAGGCCCCGCCATGTAGTCACCGGGAGTGAGCTGGTACATAACTGAGTGCCCAGCCCCGGACACCAAGAACCACCAACGCACCGACCCCTGAGGGCGTCAGTTACCGGCAGGGAGTGTGGTGAGGGGAGATAGGCCTTGGAGGGCCTGGGAGTTCCCAGAGAGATGGAGTGTAAGACCTGACCTGACATATAAACACAGACAAACAGGCACACACCGACACAAACATGCATTCCAACCCTCATGCACGCACACTGTAAAATGTAATATTGTGTTTAATTAAAAATATTAAATAGGCTGAACTCAATTTTTAACAATTTGTTATTAGAACTCGATTTAAATAAGTTACCAGTACTTTTTATGCAAAAAATGCTGATAAACTCAATTTATTTGTGTTGTCTTAACTTAGAAAAACTAAGTAAGATGGAAGTTTTTCCTCTCAGGGCGGAAGGATGAAAGATGTGTTTTGAAAATGCCACGTCACTACCGTCCTCCTCCCTCTCGGATCAGTTCATGGTGCCAGCATTTTTTATGGAATATGTTGAGCAAACCTGGAGAAGCTCAGCTCAAGAGATTATTGTCATTGCTGTGGATCTTTACCTGATACACTGACTTGGTGAGTAAATGTTTACTCTTATTCAAACTGATTTTGTGGCTTCTCTTAGTTTAGCACCAGGTTTATAATCTTGCTAGCTAGTTAGTGTTAGCCTGCGTTGCTGCTGCCACTGGGCTCATGTTACTTAAAACACCACAGCCTTAAAAGCCTTACAGAAAACTATGTCTGTGAAATTTTCTGTTGATTGAAATAAAAAAGTGAGATAAGAGCCCAGACAAAATTCTTCAGGAGGTGCAGCCGTTAGGGGTGGGGTGTGGGGGGTATTTTCAATCCATAGCCTTAACTAACTATATATATATATATATATATATATATATATAGTAGCAAAAGAGTGCAGGGGGGTTAAAAAGAATACGCCAGGAGTTAGCTGTGCTCCTGGACTGTATTGAGCCTTGACCTCCCGGTCAGCTATTGCGCTGGTGGATAACAGAGCTCTCCAAAAACGTGGAAGCACTTTTGCAAATATGTGATATTTTGATAAATTAAGTAGATATTTGAGCATTTCACAGCTACATTCTCGCCTGAAAATATCTTAAAACGTTATTTTGTGACCCAGAAAGGGTAATCTGGGGAAAAGGAGGATTGCATTTGTCGCGGCAATGGCAGAGGAGCTCGGCTAAAAAACGTATTACTTTTTCTGGGCCACAAAATAAACGTTTAAGATATTTTCAGGCGAGAATGTAGCTGTGTAAAGTTAAAGTATCTGCTCGATTTATCAAGACATCACATATTTGCAAAAATTCTCCGACGTTTTCGGAGACGTCCATTTTTTTTCATGCTTTGTGGCAGCTTTTGAACATCTGTGGCATCTATTAATGTCAAATCTAGCCTTTATTTAACAACATAAGCAAACTCTATGTTACAATGATTGCACAGCCATTAATGATCAAATCAGTTTCTGAAAAATGTTCTGTTTTTTCTCCCTCTGCTTGCTTCTTACTGTCTTTGAGGCTCAGGACCAGCACTCCTGCTGTTGGACAGAAAGACATCAACTCAGTGGTGAGTATTTTGGTTTTCCAATATATTAGCAACTGTCAGTGACATTTATATTAATCAGGCTGAACTTTAATCATACTTTAGATCAGCCTGTTTTACTTATTGTTTTATTTGTGCTTTGGTTTGGGGAAGTTGTTTCTTTACTGATCTTTTCCTGTCTTCTGTTATTAGACTTGAGATATGACTGCACTATGCTGTTGCTGGTGACTCCAGTTAATTCTACAAGACATACTGTGTAAGTAAACAAACAACAACAGTTTGGTCTGCATTTCTTGAAAGATCACATCCCCCAAACTTAGTTTAGAGGGTCTACACTGTATATAGTGAAGTCTGCAAGTTTTCTAACAGCAAAATTTGTTCCCAAATCATTTTGCACATCATTAGAATGAAAGTTATTGGCCATGTTTGCATAGCCCTTTTTAAAATGATGCTTTCATGACATTATTGTGTGTTGGGTGGGGGTCAGGGCTATCCAGACTGACAGTGGGACATTGAATGTCACCTCTCCGGTGGGGAGGGAGCCTGAGATTGTGTAAATTGGAG